TTCTCTAGAGAACTCAGTCTAACACATCCACACAATAATGTAGTAATATTTTAAAATTTCTCTTTTGCCCTGTGTACACTATTAAAATGCTAAGAAGCAGCTAGGTACTCCACAATCGTTATAATCAATGTTGGCACCACAAAGACTAAGTATCTCTGTTACTTAATCATCCAAAGCCTTGCCTTCCATCTCAGTTTTGTCCCAGCCTTCACCATTAATAATCTGAGTAATCATTATGCTACTACATACTATGGATGATCTGTGTTTTATTTACCCAAGTAAGGAGATTATTTTATGTTCTTTGAATATATGTTATTGTTGTTGTTATGTGCCATTGAGTTGGACCCGACTCATAATGACCCCTCCTTGGGTTTCCGAGGCAGTATCACTAAGGAAGTAGATTGCCCAACCTTCCTTCCGAGGAGTGGCCAGTGGGTTTGAACCGCCTGCCTTCTGGTTAGCAGTCAAGTGCTTTAGGCACTATGCTGCCAGAGCTCCTTTTGTATATATAGCCAACCCAATTGTAGATTTAAAAGTATGTTTCCTGGGGGTCTTAACCTTGTACTCATTACTGTATCAATTAATGTCCCAACAGGAAACAAATGGCAAACTCAAAAAAGGCTAATTCAAGGAAGATTTACAATGAAACTATAAAGGTCAAGGCATAGGGAAGGAGCTCGGTGGCATAGTGGATAGGCATTTGGCTGTTAACTAGAAGGTCAGCAGTTCAAACCCACCAGCGGCTCCACAAAAGGAAGATGAAGCAATCTACTTTTGTAAAGACTAACAGCCTCTGATTCCAGTGGGGGTCACTATGAGTCAGAATTGACTCGATGGCAATGAGTTTCATTTCTGAGTTTGGGTATAGGGAAATCACACATCCAGAGAAACCACGTGTATAGGGAGGGAACAGTGCAATAACTCAGAGTTAGTATCGCCGAGCTGTTACCAGCTGTATAGGTCTGAAGTAATTACTGAAGGGAACAGTTACCAGAAACTGGAAGAAGAGCAAGCCATGTAGTCAATAGACTTGAGAGGTGCACTGTCTTTAAATAAGGGGCACAGGCTGTCCAAGTTGACATTACAGAAAGGGAATAGAGGGAAAAATACCTCTAAGTTACTTTTCTCCCCCTGCCCCATATCCTGCCTATTGGATGAACCCAACTGAAGATTGAGGGTACTGAAGCCCTTTGAGTTAATCTATAGAGTAAATCTTTTCAGGCAAAGAGAATGGTGGAAAAGGGTATAGGATATGTCTCAGGAACAAAATGAAGTTACTTGACATGTAATAGTAAATGCTTATTTTCTTTTCTAACATTCCAACAGATTGTAATTTTCTTAAGGCCAAAGACAATCTGTATTTTCCTATTTATATTCTAGAGATTAACAGAGTGTCTGGCACATGGTAGGCATACATTAAATATTTTATTTCTATGCAATTTTAAAAAATATAACTATAATCTTATATTTTAAATTAACATATAATTACTTAGTAGCAATAGGAAGAAAATTAATTTAAAATACTATATACTTCTTTAGTAAATCTATTTTATCAACTTACATTTGCCTCATCCATTCTATTTTTCTAATTTTTCTTTTCTTTTCCAAATCTTTCCTTCTCTTTAGTTTAGAGAAATGAAATATGCTTTCCTTTTTGTCTTCCAGGATTGCATTTTCAGCAGGCATCCAAAACTATTGAGAAATGAAAGATTAATATACAAAACTTTAAAATATTGAATGTGAAGTTATTTGGCTATAGACAAGAACTTCTGTGCAATCAGTTAAGAATATTCTAGGATACAAATAGAAGGGACTATAAGTTCATTTAAGTGATGGGTAAGTGGTACATTGAGATTTCAGAGGTAGGTAAATGTCTCCCAGAAAGAAGATACACATGCCACAAAGAGAGTGGCAAAGTGCCAGTGTCCTGAGGTACTTAATAAGTATTTGTTGAATGAAATAAATAAATAGACATAGTCTAAAAAAATGTCATGTTCTCCCATGAACAGATCTGACTTTTTCTTAGTGCTTTGATTCTTGAAGACCCTAATTCTCAAGGAGTACAGGCATTCTCCAGAAACAAAGAAGTTCCTCTATTATGACCCAAGACTGTGTGGGTTCTCTTCTATGACACTGAAGATTTTAATTTCAAATTCTGAGCTGCTGGAGTTACTACTTCAGTGGAACCTGTGTGTCCCACAGGAAGTGCTTGCTATTTAAAATCAGAAGTCTCAGGGTGGGAGACTGTGAAACTGTTCTATTCTTCTATTATTTTATAGCTTCACTTCCACTACAAATGCTTTTTACCCTCATGGACACACCAGTACATCAATCCCTTCATTTTTTTCCCAGCCTATCAGCACCTTCTGGGTCCTATTTCTTCACCCTATTGCTACCAGGAGGATCACCGGCATCCTTCCTCCTGTTTGCCTAATTTTCCACTTCCCAATTCATTGTTCCTTCTCACGCTGGGAATAAAGAAACCAGGGACACCATGAAAAAACACATAACAAAATGACAGCAACCAATTCATACTTGTCGATAATTACACTGAATGTTAATTGATTAAATTCACCACTCAAGAGACAGAGAGTTGCAGACTGGATAAGAAAATATGACCCATCAAAATGCTGTCTACAAGAGAAACACCTTAGAGACAAAGACAAAAATAGACTAAAAATCAAAGGTTGGAAAAAGATATATCAAGAAAATGGCAACTATAAAAGAGCTGTTGTTGTTGTTGTTATGTGCCATCGAGTCGGCCCCAACTCATAGCGACCCCTCCTTGGGTTTTTGAGGCAGTATCACTACGGAAGTAGCATTGCCCAACCTTCCTTCCGAGGAGTGGCTGGTGGGTTTAAACCGCCAGCCGTCTGGTTAGCAGGCAA